CGGGTCTTTGCCTCCAATCTGTTGAACCGTTTTTGCGATACTTATTGTCACTAATTGACACCAATAATGCATTCATTTTATACATCCATTCATTCATATCTTTGTCATATTTTGTGTTTGTTTTAATCCTAAAATTTAATATTATTTTGGGTTATAACTTATAAGAGTTATATTATACATACAGTATTAATAAAAGTTATTAATCTATTGTATATAAAATAAATTATTTAAAATTCAATTCATACTTTCCGTCGATTATATCGTTTACATTGAAACCAAAAATTTGAGCCACAATTAGGGATAGGCTGTAGATATCTATAAAATGGTTGTATTCATTAGTCTGGGCTTCCGGTGCCATATAGTCAACAGTTCCCACATCTGCCGTAGGTTTGGCTTTATACATAAGAAATTGATCACAATTTGGGAACTTTATAGCCAAACCAAAGTCACATAACTTTATCTCCTCTTCCATTGAAATCAACACAATTTAGTGTGGAGACATGGGGAATATATGAAGTTAAACATAAACGTTCTCTACAAATGTATTCGTTATTCATAAAGAATCTAAGATATTTCGGTAAGATTTATTGTAATATACTATGTCTGTGGTAGATATAAATGGATAGTACTTTTCAACTCTGCTTTAATACTATTTAGCATAATATCAAACTATATTAATTCATAGAATTCATGTTATTGTCCACAAATGCAAATGAATAGAATCGCTCTCACTGTAGTTCAATAGTGTGTGTCAAGTACTGAACCTGTACTCTATGCCGTACTTTATATACTTTATTAAAATTTTAGATGTGGTTCCCTGTTAAGCAAAATTTGAGTTTACTGGCTACAAAAATAAAATAGTTCTGTCTATGGGCGAGCAACTACTATTATTTGTAAAATGTGGACATATTTAGCATAAATTTCTTTTTGATAATTGTTCAACTATTATCCAATTTTTTATATCGATATTTAAAACTGGATTAATATATAGAAATTAATTTTATATGTAAATTCTATCTAGATGACTTGCCAAAGTGCCTTGAAGTGTTGTCTGGATATGTGGTTAAAAACGAGTACAACTCATGGATAGAAAATAACGAAACATTAATTCAAATGAAATTGTGTTCAGACGATGAGATTAAATTAATTTGCAATGATCTGGATCAACTGGATAAGTATTAAAATGCATTCAGTATTTACACCAAACATACTGCTCATGTTTGCCATTAAAGTTTACAATAAAAGTAGTAAACTTATATTAAAATTGCTCATGTAGTAATAACATAATATTATAATCTATATAATTATTAGAGTAGAAAAAAGGCCTAAATTGTGCGCGAGTATTTTTATAACAATAAAAAATAGCGCGAGATTCACATTAAAACATTGAAAATATAATTTTTTATTGAATTTGTTATTTAATGATAAGATAAATAAAACATGTCTATAATTAAAAATTAAACTAAAACTTAAACGTTTTTTACAATAATTTATTCCAACATTAAATTTGTGTGCAAGTTCAAATAAAAAGACATTATTTTGTAATATATGTAAAATTGAAATTAAATGTTGATAAAAGTTTTATAAAACATTACTTCTAGAAAACACGTATTAAAAGTTAATAATTCAAATTCAATGAATACTTCACTTCAAAGTGACTTTATGAATGATTGTGTGAATTATTAGTTTCACTGAATATACCTTTAAATAAAGTGAAGTACGAAAAGCTTAGCTTTTATTGCAAGATATACACAATACTCGTGTCCTTCCGGTGAACACTTGGAAACAGAATGTCTGTCATTACTCTATAATAAAACTAATTAAATTAATTATAATTTCTGCCAAAATACTATCGATGGTTCCTGGCTAATTATCCAATTGTTCACCTACTTAAGTGTATCCAGCAACAACCAAGGTAATGATAGCAAATATTATTACAAGATTTATTGTCCACATTTTATTAACAGTGTGCAGTATGTGTTTAGTGTACGCATGAGATAATATAAACCAGATTTAAATTTAATTAAAATTATAATTAGTAATAATAAAAGGTTTAATGTAAAAAATTATTTTATTGCTTTTATTTTATATTGTAATGTATACTGTATATAATATTGCACAACAGTATTTTCATGCCTTACAATGTGAATGCAATTTAAGCTAGGTAAAAACATGTATTCATTAGTACTTATTTTAGCTTGGTTAATCGGATTTCGAAAGTTGCGTATCCTATCATATATTTAATGAAGATTTTATCAAAGTTTTGAGAAAATAATTGGACAGAAATTGATAGACAAAACACGGGGAGAGTCAGGGAGTGATGCAATCAGTGGCTCTGAGTTCGCGTTTAACTGGCTATTAATGAGCTGTTTGTTGGCCAACGGGTTATCCCATCATTTGATCGCAGTTTTATAGTCTGGCGACGACTGTTAGACCAGAGTCTGGTTGTGCCATAAGTGACCCCGACTTTGATCTTATTGGTGGACAACTGGGTGTGCGCTCACCAGTGGCACCGGGAGTGGCACACGGGGTGTGACCTCACCTCTACTTAGGGAAGGGTATGCTCTCTAACCGCCTGTAATATAGCCGTCCCGTAGATAAGGAGTCAATCAAACCGTTTACCGGTCGTCGACACCAAGGACTGAGTCCAATGCCGTCATCAGTCTCACAGGGGTTTCGGTCCGTAAGCTCCGGTCCCGGAGGTGAGCACTGCGTTACCCTACCCGGGGTCAGGCTCTTGTAATAAGGGCTGGTGTCCACATCGCTCGACACCTACTGACCATTGGCCTAACCCTCCAGTTCAGCGACACTCCCAGCGTTGACTCAGCCCATGGCGTGCACTCCGTTACGCTTCCACGGGTTGGGTCCATTAGATCGGCTCCGAGTATTACCAGCGTAGGCCTGACCTCCTTAGTGCGATCCCAACCATAGGTTTTGGTACGATAGTGTAACCCCTGTCCCACGTGGACACTGTCCGGACGAGTACTCAAGCAAACAACCACTCAATTCAATGACAAAACGGAAACCAATTTATTTCTCTCACTTCGCTCTGCACTACAATTCTGGAGACAAAGAGTGTATGAAATGTGAATACAAACTAATAATGATTAATATATCGGAAAAATACAATAATTAATATCATAAATAGGAAAATACAGTAATAATCATAGAAAACATGAATAATAAGTATTGAGTTCTGGAAATATACAACAAACTAATAATGAATAGTTTTATACTTTAAGTAGAAATAGATAGTCATTTGATTTTAAAAAGGAAAATATTATGCATGAATTGAACCTGGTTATGTATTCATTAATTATGCTCGCAATGTGATCTGTATGAATTTATTAAAACACAACAATTATTTCTCGACAAAAATATTATAAAATTTTATTGAATAATTATATCAAACAATAAACACATACTGTATGTACAGTATATAGATTGTCGATATTATTAATATAAGAGAAACTACGCTATTGTACACAATACTTAATAATCTCAACAACCGGCTGATTACTTGCTTAGCAATAAAGAATGTTATCGATATTTGTTTTTCATAAAAAATTTATGATACGTATTATTATAGTTATAAATAGAGCCCGGAATGAGTGGATGAGAGACACTGCTTTCAGGTGACTTGGGTTTAGTACAACACATCTAACTTAATATCTCTCTTATCAATGATTATCAACATCATATTAAAACTTTACACTATCAGGGATTAGCACAAGGATTAGGGCATAGGTATGTTCACTCAGGCTATATTGAACCCAAATCGGTTTAAAACAGTGTATTTTCTACGATTTTTTCCACTGATTCCGGGCTCTAGTTATAAACACTAAAGTGGAGTAAATTGAATGAAAATTAATAACTATTGTCACCATTTTGTATAATTATTATACAAATAAATGTTTATTATTATTGAATTAATATAATAAATATAATTAATATTCTTGATTATTATTATTTGTGTTAAATATTTTATTTAATAAAATGTCAACTGTATTTAATAATTATAAAATTTGTGATCAAATACCACAACATTTAAAACAAGAAATTAAATATTTTTATGTTTTCAAAGACTGGAATGGATATAACATACTGTTCGTGACATTTGATGATATGGTGTATGGCTTGGGATCTAATAGGTGGGGTCAGCTCGGGTTAGGACACGACGAACCCATTCATACACCACAACGAGTGCCAGAATTATGCCATAAAAATATACATCAATTTTTCAATGGATATGACTTTGTATTTGCTGTCAATACGGATAATAATGTGATATTCAGTTTTGGTCGCAATAAATGGGGAGAATTGGGACGTGATGTGGATATGGATATGAATGTATACCATAAACCGGATACTATATTATATTTCCAAACAAACAATTTAATTATTTCACAAATAAGTTGTGGTAATAAACACACAATTGTGTTGACATCAAATGGACAGGTATTCGGGTGGGGCGGTAATTACCATGGATATAATTGTGGTTATGGTTGTGGTGGTTGTGGCAATACAAGTATTGAAATAAACCCAACTCCTGTTGAATTTGCCACTGAATATCAAATTAGTAAAATAGAGTGCTATGAGAATACATCACTTGCTATTACTTGTGAGGGACAGGTGCTTATATGGGGAAAAGTAAGACATAATATAATAAAAACACCACATCTATTAGAAATTGAAATTAACATAACCAATGCACTTCTACAAAGTTGTGAATATGCATATTTGTTATCTAACCATGGTCAAATACATCGATATTACTTTCATAAAAAGTGTTCAGAAATAATCTCACATTTTGTGTTCAATGAAATCAAACGATACAATGGCTCAGGAATTGTGTGCAAATCTGGTGATAAAATATATGAAATTGCAGACAAAAATGTGTTTGAAACCAACTATACATCATTTGATGATTATTTTTTAAATAAAAGTCAAATCACTATAAATACGATTTCAACAAATATTCAGCAAAATACACCAAATTGTGGTAAATATTACAATAATATCATAATTGTTGCCTCAATATGTTGTGCATTGAATTAATTATTATTATTATATTTTATTATAGAAACTCACGATAAGTTGAATAATTCAATATCATTTAAAAAGTCATTTGATTTAGTAAATAAGCTTGGTGAGGGTTGCTATGGACTGGTATATAAAGTTCGAGATAAATGTAACCATAATTTCTATGCAATAAAGAAATGCCTATTAAATGGTAAATATATTGTATTTTATTTGCAAAATTATGATAATTTTTATTTTATTTGGATTTTTCTAAAGGATTGACAGATAAAGAGAAACAAAATGTTTTAAATGAAACGCAAAGTCTTGTGAAACTTCGGTCAGAGTTTGTGATTCGATACTACTATTCATGGATTGAATGCAATTGTCTTTACTTTCAAATGGAGTTATGTTTCGATAATCTCAACAATGTTTTGGGAATTAAGAAATCGTTGTTAAATAACAAGTTG